TTTATTTATCCATTTATCAGTTGATGGACATTTGGGTTGTTTCAACCTTTTAGCAATTATGAATAATGCCTCATATACACTTAGATTATCATTTAATATGTGTGGCTTAGTACTATAGGGTTTTTGTTGTTTGTTTGTTTGGCCTGTGTCTGTTTATCACTTGATTATAAACTCCTTGTGAACAAAGCCCATTATTTTCACTCTTTAATCTCCACATAACAAGCATTCAATAAATGTTTGACAGATGTATGAATGGGCAGATATTATAGGTTCTTACTGTGTTGATTACCATACAAGGTACTAAAAATAAAAACATTAGAGTGGATTCAGTAAATTTATCCAGTAAATTATAACATTCAAACACTTATGGTTCTTAAATAAACTTTAATCTCTGCACTATTTCCTAGAATTCCACAGATGGATACTACAGTTGATTATTTCATGGCGGCAGTTCGTTTGCTAATAATAGTTGTGAACTGGGTGGACAGAGGCCTGGAAGATGCCAGACTTTTTCTTCTGAATTGACTTCACAGTGTCTTGTTGCTCTTGACTTGACTGAGGCTATTATTCTAGTCTAGAGTGGTGGTTCTCAACCCTGGCTGAGCATGAGAATCCTCAATGGAGCTTTTTCATTATCTGGGTCCCACCTCCCAGATTATGATTTGGTAGCTTGGGTAGGGGCCCAGGTGCTCACGTGTACTAAAAGCTGTAAAGATGTTTCTGATGCATAACCAGGTTCAACAATTCCTATTTCAAAAGTTGCCCTGAGGTTAGAAAGAATCTTACAGGGGCCGGCTGGTGGCGCAGCGGTTAAGTGCACATGTTCTGCTTCGGCGGCCTGGGGTTCCCCAGTTCAGATCCCAGGTGCGAACATGGCACCGCTCATCAAGCCATGCTGTGGTAGGAGTCCCACGTATAAAGTAGAGGAAGATGGGCATGGATGTTAGCTCAGGGCCAGCCTTCCTCAGCAAAAAGAGGAGGATTGGCAGAAGTTAGCTCTGTGCTAATCTTCCTCAAAAAACAAACAATAATAATAATTTAAAAAATTAAAAATTAAAAAAAAGAAAGAATCTTACAGAGCAAGCATGAGCACTTTACTCCTGGAGAGTATTTTACTCATCCTGGGATCACGCCCATTGATACTACCTAACATTTATACAGCACTTTTTATTTGGAAAGAGCTTTGCAGTCATCTTTTATTAGCTAGGTTTGAATGCTGGGTGACCTTGTACAAATCACATAATCCCTTCGTGTCTCAGATTTTCTCAAATGTAAACTGTAGGCAGTAATACTGACCCACCCCCAAGGGGTGCTGTGGAGACTAATGAGGGACTGCAAGGCACTCAGCAAACATAAAAATGTTCCATGATGCTTATTAGACAGGTATGAAGTCCTACTCACAGCCTTTTAAAATGAAACAAATACCCAAACAAACTCTGAAACAAGCCTTCCTGCAATCTTCATCATCATGTGACAAGATCTTTTCCAAGCACCAAAGTACAGCAATTCCCCCTTTCCACCAAGACTAATAAACAGGCATAATCAGCAGTCATAAAGAAAGACAGAACTAATGATGGCAGCAAATAAACATATAAAACAGTCCTGAAATATAGTTTGTTAACCTTCTCATTTATCATTCATAACGCAATTAGAGATTATATCTATAAATACACTCTTCTGAAAAATATTCTTAGAAAACATTTGTGCATGTTCACACAGCCTTTAAGCTGATGCTACATACTCACTGTTGATATTAAGCCTGAAGTTGTTTTCTAGTTTGCTAGATGGTTAGATGGTTTTTACATGGCTATATTTAGCATCTTCTCATCTCCCCCATGTGGCTGAAAGAATATATGGTAAAAATGAGACCTATCTCAAGTTAGGAATAGGTGAGAATGAGGAGGCAGAGGAAGAGTCTCCAACCTTGGAACCAGAGACAGGTCTTGTAAGGATGATGACCCACGACTAAAGGCTCATTTGCACTATATTTTCAGCTTGTTGGAAAAGGGAGTGAGAAAATAGACATGGTTTTCCATTTCACTTTGAAAGGGCCACAAAAGTTTCAAGGGCCAGGTCCAATTATATATTCCAGTTCATTTACAATTGAATGGTTTCTGTGACTATGAATGAGAATTCGTGCCTACACACCCACCATAACTGATTTGAGCCATAAATCCTAAGCAAGCATGACCTTTCTGGGGCCACTTGACCTTGACCATGCTCTTTCCTCTTTGGGCTCCTGAGGGTTTGAGTTTTATTCCCAAGGGCAGTTGTCTGCTTTGATTAAGCTCAGGACCTGATAACAATTAAATTCTATCAAGCAAATATTTATTGAGTACTTATGTCTGTGGATAATACTGTAGTGCTTACTGTGGAGGCTACCAAGAGTTCCTTGAGGTGCTTACTGGGGTTGCTATAACTGGATGACCTTGGGTCCTTGAGTCAGGACAAGACCAACAACCTCCCCAGAGGGACTCCCAGGTTTTGGTCAGCTAACATGCTGGTTTCTTGGGGACTCCTAAACGGGCCTCCAGCAGACACCAAGTTGAAATGTCATTTAACTTCTCATATGACATTTTTCTACCTGTGATATCCCATTAGATCTCGATCAGAATTCAGAAGTTCCTGTGAAAAGAGCCTCTGTGCAGGGAGGCTCATTGATCGGGGAAATATCTATTATGCATAGTTATTGTTTTTTAAATAAGGTTAATTCCAGCATGTTTCCACCTCAACAATCTCTGAGAGTCTCAGCAATTTTGTTGAACATCTTAAGGGGAGAAAGATCCACATAGGCTTCATTTCAATAGTTAGGAGAAATTAATGCTAATACATGCCTTCAATGGGATTCACTTAGGTATCCTGAACACTTTCTTCCATCAATGTGGAAAATCCCCGGAAGTATGCATTGTGGCTTTTTCCTCTGTAAAGAGATTTAAATGGTTACAATAAGTTGTATGATTTCCTCTGGGTCTTTCAAAGTCCTGTTTTCTCTGTATCTCAAGGTAAGCCTCCCTGCTTTGCAGATCTAGAAGCTGAGACATCATGAATTGGTTTCATCATGTTCCTCAGCGAAACACAGGCCACTGTGTCCCAGCCCATTGCTCTCCTTGAAATGAAAGGAAAAGTCATGACATTTTAAGAGAGAGGAGAAATCAGGTACAATACTCTGTTCTAGTGCTTGTCTGCCATATCTTTCATAGAGGATCCTTAAGATCTTAGATGAAATTTAATCATCCTTACATGTTAACTTTACTTTCTTTCAACTTCCTAAAAAACAAACAAACAAAAGCACAGAGAAACACTCAACCATTTACTCACTAATCCTCATGACTTGGGTCATAAAATACAATCTGGGCAAAGCCAAACAAGGCACTAGAGGGCTGAGAGACAAGGAGAATGCTGTGTGTTGGGTTTAGGATTTTGAAATGCCCCATTGTGGTGGTTTCCCATTTGTCTTCATGCAGAAGGTCAACATTGGTCTATCATTTATAGCAGATATTTGCTCTAAAGGAAGACTTCTTTGACTGATCATGGACAGGCATTTAAAAAAAACAAAACTCTTCCACAAAACCAGATCAATGAGAAGCATCCTATTTAACAGACGTTAAAATTTTCACTGTTTTAATTTTTATGTCACCAAAGTATCCACCCACCCCTTTAGAGCGTCTCTTTATTTCTTTATAGGAAGATTTAAATAAGCAATCTGTTTCCTTTCTAAATATTTTTGGGTTAACAATAACACTTCTCTCACTTGAATTTTGTCCTGATGATTAAACAGTAAAATGCTAATTGGTAGTCTGTATCTCAAGAGAAAAAGCTATTTCTTGATGGTCAAAAGCTGAGATGAAGATCTTATAGGGCGCTAAGATAAATGGGTTAGGTTGCATGCTAAGGGGAAGGGATTAAGGACCAAATTGACTTAACTCCAGAGAGAGATTCTGGTTTAGTGGAAAAACTAAGCTGAGATCAGAATGTATTAAAGATACTCACAAGACTAAAGTTTTCGAAATGCAGGCATTTGTTATTAATTGTAGGGCAGAGAAAATTGGGAAAAACATCCTTTGTCTTTTTGGCCTGGAGATGACTTTAGACATAAAATAACTTGCATGTTAAGAAATTATTTTTATTTCCCTCCTATCTACTTTTTATTTCTGGAAAGACATTGAGCAAGGGTAAGGGGCATATTATTAGATGGGCATCCTGAGTACACTGTCCAGAATCTGCACTCCTTCTTCCCATAAGTATCCATGAGGAAGTCAAGAGCGGGCCTTTCAAATTCCACATCTGTCAATTATTAACTACATGATTGTGAGCAAGTCTGAATCTCTAAATGCTTTAGTTTAAGCATCCATTTAAGGAGTGATAATAATAATACGTATCTCATCAGAATGCTGTGAAGGTTAGAAAAGCCAATGTATGAGAAAACACCTGGAGACTAAGCATATATTAGCACTCAGTACATGTTAGAATAATGAGCAAATGGGAGAAGTCAGAGATGAATCCAGCCCCACTGCCCACAAGCTAAAATCTATACATTTAGCTGGGCATTCAGTGTCCTGGAAAATGTGCTCCTATTCACTCTCCAGCCCTTTTTCCACAACTGCCCTGCTGTAGGCTAACATTTTCCAATACACCTTAAATTTGTCCAGCTTCGTGTCTGTGTCATTCCTACCACCCTCAGCCTCCGTTTGCCCAAATTCTACCCATCTCTCAAGGGCCTCAAATCCCACTGTCTCCAGGAATCCTAGGCGACTCATCTTCTCCTCCTCTAAACCCTGGTCCTTGATGTCTAGAGCACTCCTGGAAATATAATATATGAGTGCTTATTGCCCCAGCAGACTGCAAGTTGCTGCAAGGCAGAGGCCATGTATATAGCAGATACCTCTGTGTACCACAAACCATCGGGCCTTGCCAAGAGTAGGTGGTGAATAGACTTGTGATTGAATGGATGCACGATTTCTCACCCTGTCACTGTTGTGCTCTTGGACAAAACACTTTACCTTTTCAGTTTCAGTTGCCTCAGCTATGAACAGAGGATAACAGCATGGATGCATTCCCCAGGTGTGCTTTGAAGAATAAGCCAATGACTGAAAAGCAATTTGAAAATGTAAACTGAAATGCTATATATAAATGTTACATAATCAAAATCATTTCCCTCTGTATTATGTTTTATTTGGCTTTATATCTTGGAATCCTTTGGCTTCATATCTTGGAATCCTTTGTGGGTTTCAGAATTTCACAGATGCAATACCATCCACATTAGCACCTAAATTCTCTTGAGTAATAAACGATTGTGTGTATTATAGCTCACGGCTACTTTTCCCTGGCATACTTACAAGCAAATGTCATAATTTGGGGTATTCATAACTAAAGGTACAATTCATTTCTAAGGGATAATCCATTTTTTTCTTTGGCTGGCCAGTTATCGTTCCCATATCGCTGCCTCAAGGGAAGTAATTTCCATTAAACCCAAAATCCAGACAATGATCACACTATTTAGAAGCCCAACTCTGCCAGGAGCTTACAATCTGAGACCTGGAAAGTGGTTTGGGGTTTTGAAGCACTGATTGTTTCTATGGTCCTTTTTGTCCCAAATGAATCCCTCATTTGCCTTTTTGTAATACATGTGTTCCCAAGCGCTCACAGCAGCCTGATTTCCTAGGTACCAGGAAAAGCTGGGTTAGCCAGCCCCTTCCACATGAAAGCAAGGGTATCATTTAGACCAATGATATTTAAAATGCTATTTTCTCTCTTAATATGTTCAAGAAAGAGGTTCCTATAGAAAAATAAAGTTTCTTAGAAATCTCCAGTACCTATAAAAGACTTTTGGGGGCCAGCCCAGTGGCATAGCAGTTAAGTTTGCACGCTCTGCTTTAGCAGTCCATGGTTCGCCGGTTCAGATGCTGGTGTGCAGACCTACGCACGGCCCATCGAGCCATGCTGTGGCAGGCGTCTGACGTATAAAACAGAGGAAGCTGGGCACGAATGTCAGCTCAGGGCTAATTTTCCTCAAAAAAAAAGGCTTTTGACTTTTAGTGCATAGCAGGATATTATTCCTAGAATAGTCCTTCTACACAGATAGAAACTGAAGACAAAAAGAATGCAGTGACACCTTAGGGTGGTAATGAGGATCAAGTGAGTCATTAGATGAAAAGGCTTAGAACAGCACACAGCACATAGTAAGTCCTCAATAAATATTAGAGGTTATTACCGGCAGAGGGCCCACTATGAGCCCAACCCTGTGCCAGGAGTTACTTAGAGCTTCTTGCTTCAAATTCAAAACAAGCCAATGAGACAAACCTAATCCCTACACCCTTCACCTTTCTGGCTCAGAGAAGCTAAGCAACTTGTGCAAGGTCTCAAAATTAGGAAGCAGTTTGTTTAGTTTTATTTATTTATTTTTTAAAGATTGGCACCTGAGCTAACAACTGTTGCCAATCTTTTTTTTTTGTTCTTCCTGCTTTTTTCTCCCCAAATCCCCCCAGTACATAGTTGTATATTTTAGTTGTGGGTGCTTCTAGTTGTGGCATGTGGGACACCACCTCAACATGGCCTAATGAGTGGTGCCATGTCCGCGCCCAGGACCCAAACCCTGGGCTGCTGAAGCAGAGCGCGAGGACTTAACCACTCAGCCACGGGGCCGGCCCTGTTTTGTTTTATATCAGGCCATTTTTCCAAGACCATTCTAGTCTTTCATCAGACTTGTCTTTACATAGTGGCATGCATTTTTAAGAAGTCTGATGCAGTTTTTCTTCCGGAGCATGTATGACGAAGAAATGCCATGTTTTTGTGGAATAAAAGCTTCCCTTCCCCACCTACTTCTGTTATCACATTTTTACTTAGTTAAACCTGTGGCAACATAACTCTCATATGGGGCAGTTGCACCGTCATTCAAATGCAGTGAGATATCATTGTTTTGTGGGTGGTATCACCGTGGCTGCAGATATTGGGCCAGAGTAATCTCTCTGCTACAAAAATATCTCCTAGTTGTGATGTACAAACTAACATCATACTTTAGTTTGCCAAAAACACCTACATGATATTTTGTAGTCTATACAGCAATTAATAGTTCAAAGTACATTATCACTAGTTATCTCTCCTAGCTCTGTGAAATTAACTAGAAGTACTGCTGCAGTTTCACAGATGGGAAACTAAGGTATGGGAAGGTTAATGGCTTGCCCAAGGTCTTACAATGCACCCATGGCATAGCTGGTATTAGAATCTGCTGCTTCTGATTGCACTTGTTTGCTAAGGTCTTTAGCTCAACCTGTTCAAATTCTGAATAATTTTCAAAGTGAATATATATTGAAAGAGGTGGTCAAAATGGAAAAGAGGGAAAAGTACCACTCACTTAAGCAAAGCTTCTGAAACATTGGTAATCAAAGAATAAAGACTGTGAGGGCCCTTTTCCTTCATTTCCATTTATGGAATGAAAGGACAATAATCCAAAGAGATTAAAATGAATAGAAATTGCAAGTGCAAACAGGAATTGTTCAGACCACACTATTTTCCCATTTCAACATCATTTTGTTCTCCTTTTTGGCAGTCAGTACTGCTATAAATGACATGCATTTGCAGTGCTTTGTAACCATTGTCACAGTGTCCCCCTTAAGCAGATAAACACAGTGGACCGATTCCGCCACTGCTGTTTTATGGCCAAGGAAGCAAGGGTAAACAGAGGTTAAGTGACTGCCAGGGGCACTCACCATGCCAGCTGCTCAGATTAGAATCCATGGCTCCTATCAGTCACACCCTATTGAAATTTAGAAGGTCCCAAATATTGTTTCAGTGTCAGAGATGGGTAACAGTGCCTGAAGGCAAATTTGCTCACCATTCACAAAGGGATCAGCCCTGCTTCCATGGTCCCACCTCGATCTTCTCATTCCCAAGCCATTCCACAAACTTCCCTATCTCTTTGAAAGACAGAAATTTCCTTTGGTGGAACAGGTTAGAACTAAACAAATGACTTCCACATACAGATTTCCCTGGTTTTGTGTTTGTTTCATACAGACAGGACTGCAATGAGTTCTTGGACAAGTAACAGACCTCATTTTCCCTTGTAGGATATGCAGATGGCCTAAACTCAAGAAGAGATCCTAAGGGGGACTGGCAACCAAAGGAATAAGCCTTTGTTCAAGGAAAGCTTTTGTCAAATATCAATTACAAGAGAAGATGGTGTGGAAATATGAATGTAGTCTAGATGTGCTCTGTCCCTTCCACATCATCCATTCTGTAAGAGAAAATGAGACCAGTTACTTGACCAAGAACCCATGGGCGATCATGTCCACATGAAACAAACAAATGGAAAACCTTGGAAATTGGGACATGGAAGTCAGTTGTTTAGTTCTAATTTCATGAATAGAAATTTCCTATTTCCTTTTTTCATTATCTAACATAAATACTACAGCAAATACAGTCAACAGCCAGTGTTTGGCTCTTATTACCAAGGTGACTTTTAAAATAATCATCAGCATCTGTGAAAAACCTTCACAGGGTGTTAATATGATAAACACTGTTGGCAAACTTTTTGTCTAGTTATATCCAGGAGTGGGGGGGGGGGGAAATCCAAGGAAATATATTTTTCCCCTTGTCCCCCGATCCTAACCTGGGGAGAGACCTGGTGTATATTCATTCCATTCATGTGATCTACATCTAATGCCTTCTGGGCAGAGGCCATTCTCCCAGGCCACTCAGCAGCTTGCTAAGCAACCCTTGGAACTGAATGGAATGGTCTCCCTCACCTGTCTCAGTCTTTTGGTTCACTAGATGAGGAAGGGTTAAATATGCACAATTTCTGCATCACTAACCACTTTTTCAGGGCCTAGTAAGGACTGTCCAGATCGTGATTTTCTTGCCCTTCTGACAGCCTGCCTTATGACCTTTCCCCACTGAGACAGGGAGCTGAGGAGATAAAATGTGAAACTCAGTCCAGGCCAGAGCTCACCTCAGAGCTGCAGCCTTCCCTGCTGGAGGGGCCATTTCACTCCTTTTCAAGCCACAGGCCATCTGCCTTCCTTCTTGCCAATGACCCTCATCAGAACTTACTCTTGAGAGACGAGCTACAGATACAGGCCCTCATGAGGGCCAGGCAGCCATTGAAACAACACCTGCAAAGATTCATACTCCGTCACATATGATATCCTGAAGTTACCCACGCTGAGAGACTAAAACCTTTAGGACATCTGGGATCTGAGGGAGACAAGGGTCAGTGGTAAAGGTGTCAGATACCAGGAAGCTTGACCCCTTTCCTGCCATGCATACCTTCATTTTACTAACATGGGTTGGGTGCCTACCTACGGCAAGTGCAGTTACAGGCACACAGAGGCCACTAGGCACCTACAGCTTACCATGTAGGGCTTGCTACCATTCTAGGTCTCAGCCTGGAAAGAGACACCCAGCCCTTCGTTTTTTGGCTCTTTACACCCACAGCTACGTAGGTATGTGCGCTGCAACCAAGGTAAGGGCTTAAAACCCGCCGAAGGGCTCATCCGCTGACAAAAAGAGCAGCTCTGACCCGGCCGCCGGGAAGGGCAGAGCCCACAAAGCCTTCTTCCGGGGCTACTCCGCCGCGAGTGACCCAGCGAGCTCAGGCTACCCCCACGCCCGCCGCTCCGCAGGTCTCTGAGCTCGGTCCAGGGGCTTCCGAACGCGAAGGGGGCGAGAACGTGCAGGGGGACAGACTGGCTCGCTCTGTGGCATTCCTGCCCGCGAAGATGGACTGTCCTGGCCTCTCTGGCGGACCCAAAGGACAGCAGCAGGAGTTCCCACTGCTGCGATGCCACCCCGCAGGGCAGCCCGACCGGAGGAAGGGTCTGGCGGTTTCCGGCGTCGTCGAGCGCCCGAGCCGCCCTCTCGCCCCCTGGCTCTGCGAAAGTGCCCGGGGCGCCTGGGGTCGGGAAGCACGGTCCCCGCTGCCGGGGGTGTAGAGAGCAGGGGGGAGGAGCGGGCGTGCAAGGAACTTTCCGGAGGTGTGCGGAGTCCGAGGTTTCTTTCGGGGATCACCACCAGACCGCAATCAGAACCTATCCGGAGAGCTCGGGGCTCCCAATTCCGGGCCCGGGCCTCCACCGGTGCTGGGTGATCTGGCTCGGGACTCACCCTCTTTGGGTCTCGGTTTCTTCCGACTGCGGGGGCTCCTGTAGGGCCGCCCAGCTCCGCGCCTCCTGCGGGCGCCAGGTGTGGGCGTTGTCCACCCCGTCTCGGCCGGCGCTGCTGTTGGGCTTCTCGCCCACGGGACACGGCGGCTCCGGGGGCTCTGGGCAGCCCCAGGCCTCTCTCACTCACGGGCTTGTCCAGGCCGCCACTTCCCTCCGGCAGCGCCGGGGTCGCGCCGCAGCCGCCCCGACACCCCCCGCCCGCAGCCCGGGTTCCCCACCGCAGCCAACTTGCCGGCCGCCGGCGCTTCTCCCAGCCAGCCCTCCGCCGCGGGCGATTGGACAGCGGCGGCGGGGCGGAACCGGGTGCTCGGCACCACCCGCGGCCGCCCGGGGCCCTGGAGAGACCGCGATTGGCTGCGGTCTCCGCCAGTCATGGGCTGAGGGGCGCCCCGCCCCGCAGGGCCGTCCCGGGGCTGGCTCCGCCCGGCCCGCCGCCTGACCCCGCCTCCCTCAGGAGCCCGGTCGGCTCAGCCAGGCGATCTGCCTCAGTCGCTGAGCAGGTCGGTGAATTGTCAGAGCGCTCGGGGCGGCTGCTGAGCCTGGGCGGCCGCCGGGCTTCTGCTCCCTCTGAGGTGCTTGCCCGAGCCAATGTGCCCGGGTCAGCTAAGGCGAGAGCAGTCGCCGGTTCGGGGCAACTTGGGATTCAGGACCCGCAGCAGGGGCGTCGGATTGCGATCGGGACTCGGCGAGGAGGGTGAGTGGCCGCGCGCAGGGCGAGCGACTCCTCTAAGCGCAGTTCAGCGAGCAGGGGGACTGGACGCGTCCGGGCGCGCTTCGGTCCGTCGGTCCGAGCGTGGCCGCTGTGGGGAGGTCAGGGCTGGGCGGAATTTACTCCTTGCCAGTATCCCCGCTCCTGAACTTCTTGTTTCAAAGCGTAGCAACTCGGCCCGGGACGCGGCTCTGCGTTCGCGCGAACTTGGCGTGTTGTGATTGCCATCATTAGCTGGGGCCTGGGGACGCGTCCCCTCGCCCTCTGCGGCGGCGACACGCGCGCTGGGGGCGGCCTCCGTGCCCAGTGGTGTAGGGACAACAGTTCCTAGATGGCTTGCAGACGGGTTCCTAAAAAATTAACCCGCGCCGGAGCCGGTGCGGAGCAACAACCCGGCGTCCCTGTCTGACCTGTGGCCTGAACCAGCGCTCGTCGTATTCGGGGTGGGTCTTCAGGGATCAGAGAACCTGAGTGACCAGCCAGGTTCTGTAACAGGGGCTTCAGTGCTTTGCGATTATTCCTTTGAAAGGAATTGACGACGTGGATATTAAACTTTGCAAAGTAATTACTTTCGATTAGCGCTTGAATCCGCATCCTTCCTGAGGTGCCAGGACCTCCACATCCACCTGCAAGGTGTGTCTGAAGGACTTCGTTAGGACCAGGGGAGAGCTACTGTCTGTCCCAGTGCCCGGAGCCCCGGGAGAATCCAAGACTAGACCGTGCAAGGGACCACCACGCTGGTTGGTTGGTGTTTGTTTGAGCACCTGTGTGTTTAAGTGATGAAGTTGTGACAGGAACTGACAACAGGATTCAAGGTTAAACCTGACACTTCGTTTGTGACTCAGTCTGGGATGATTTTTTTTTTCTCTCGTAATGATAAGGGGTAAAAGCAGCTGGCTTTTCTAAGGGCAGTTGCATACATGTAATTTATATTATGTGTGGACTAAAAAGAATTCAATACAGTATTTTCTTGTGATTCTTATTTGACGTGACTGAGAGCTTATTGAGAGTACTTGATAGAGACAGGTATAGAATTTGGGAATATTTTGATCTTTGAAAATACATAAAAACGTTGAGCTATATGGCTATTCATACATATGTAGATGTGCATGTCTGTGTGTGTACGTGTGTGTATAAGATTGATAGGTGAATGAAGTAGAAATACACGGAGGGGGAAACAGCCTTGAACTTTCCCCGGGTGAACACCTCTGATCTGTGTGGTGTATCATGAATGTGTGTGTGAGCATGTCTGGATCTGCCTGGTCTGTCTGGGTCAGTGTATGCCCATGAACTTTACCAGCATGCAGTTCAATACCACTCGGTACAGATTCTGCGTTCCTGTTTTACAGCCCAGCAGCCGCCAGCCAGCCCATCTGTTAAAACAGAACATGTACACTTCAGCGGGAGCACTAGGGCGGAGCGTGGGTTGGGGGCGACCCTCAGTAGAAACAACAAGCTACAAACAGAGCGGGCCTCTCAAGTTTTATTTTCATTCGGTATTCAGCCTGAACTTGTGATTTTAGTGAAGGCGAAAAGGAGTTTGACTCTTCAGAAATGGCAAACTACATTTTGTGAAATAATTATAGCTGTACTTTGGGGAGGGGGAGTTTATAGGAGAAAAAGATCTCTCTAGAAAAGAAATGTGCTTGTCACATCATTGTTGCAGTGCTGGTTTACTGCTTTGCAGTAGCATGTATATCAGAAACTGTTTTCTTTTGCTTCTCAAGAGAATGCATTAAAACTGAACTGCACCAACAAAAAAAATCCTTAGAAGTAAACAAAGCTTAATTCAAGAGGCTATTTAGTCTACTAGAGCTAAGACTGCCTTAGTAATTGTAATGAAACATGTTTTTAGGAATTTATAACTTGGATATAAATTCTTATTCAGCCTAATCACCAGGTGCAATGTTTCACAATTTATAGTTTCAAAAGTAATAAAAAACCTTTATCACAAAAATTCTGATGACTAAAAGGCTATGGGAGGAGTATAACAGCTTAATAAGTTCCTTCAGCCAAGTGACTGATACTTAAAAAAACTATAAATTCCTTTAATAGCATAATTACTTTTGGTGACAAAATAAAGGCAATATTTTGGAGAAGCATACTTGATATTTCTCCCAATAATTTTATGCTCATAATTACATTTTAATAATGGTGTTCATTACATGTGGGCAGAATAAACTGGAATGGTTTAAGAACTTATAACAAGGGGCTGGCCCAGTGGTGTAGTGATTAAATTTGCGTGCTCCACTTCGGAGGCCCGGGATTCCTGGGTTCAGATCCCCAGGGCAGACGACTCATCAAGCCATGCTGTGGTGGCCTCCTATATACAAAATGGAGGAAGATTGGCACAGATGTTAGCTCAGGGACCATCTTTCTCAAGGAACACGAGGAAGATTGGCAACAGATGTTAACTCAGAGCCAGTCTTCCTCACACATACAAAAAAAGAACTCATAACAAGAAGTATTGTTTTCATTTTTGTGATACTTAAACATTTTGCGGAAAATATGCAAGTCCCTAATCTGCGAATGTCTTTAAATTTCAGTTGGACTACAGAGACACAATAATTCTCCTGCCTTGTTATGGATTATCTGATGTCTAAGGATCATCTGCTCCTTAGATATTCAGTTCATGGGCTGGACTCCAGTCTCTGGGATTCCATTCAGGAGTCTGGGGTGGGACTTACTGCATTTTTATCCAGCACCCCTAAGTGATTCTGATGCCAGGGATCCCCTCACCAGATTTTGAGAAACACTGGAAGAGTGTTTATGATATAAAAGACAATTATAGTCTGTGAGTTGATTCAACAAACAATTGTTCCAAAATTTCCAGGTGGCATTTACCAGCCTTGTGAAATTTATAGGCAACACTTTAACTTTCTGTCCTCAATAATGGCACCTTTTGTTCTTGTGACCACAAGCGTTTTGGATTCCTCAACTATCCCTATTCCAGGTTAGCCCCAGTTCTAAGGAAGACTGTCTGGGGAAGCAAGGTAATTTAAGACCCCAGCCCAGTCTTAGTCCCTCCATTCCCTGCTCCAAGTTCATTGAGCTCCTGGGGTGCTCTGGGGTGATTTTGCCAGTCCTAACTCACATTGTTGGGCGTATGTCCCTGGACGGTAGAAGGATCCCAGTCCGTGGTAGCCATCTTTGACTCTTCAGAGCAGCTCCATACTTATCCAAGGTCGAGGATCTCCTGGGAAGCTGTAGCTGGTCTGCCTCTCACTTAGGAGAGTGTCCCAGGCCACCCACTCAGAGGCCCAGGGAGTCTCATTTTTAGAAAGTCATCTTAGAAGTATTTTGAGCTGTTCAATCAATTGGGTAGATAGATTTTTTTTCAGCATCACAAAGAGGTTCAGAATTGATTGCCACCTCTCCTTTCAAATCAGTGTGAATTTTGATTTATTAATTATTGTCAATTAGCTCTTTTATTTATAGTTTGATACTGACATCTGGATTCTATTCTCCCATTTCAGGCTGGCATAGTTCTCAATTTAAGACTCCAGGTAAGGTTTAAAAGAGAAAGGATCTATCAGAAATTGTTGCCCTTCCCTCTTTCTACCATCCAAGTACCTAAAAAGCTAAATGACTTCTCAGAGGTCAGAGGTGCCCGGATGTTTACTTCCCTGATGACAAAAGGATATGAATAGGCTGGGACACTGAACTTGGATTGTTCCAGGCCACTGGATCATTACTGGGACTTTTATGCAGCAATTTCTGTTGTAAGGAGCACTTGGCAGGCATGTTTATAGGTCACTTATCTTAACAATCCTTTGAGTACGATGATTTTTCTCACTTTGTTACAGATGAGCAAACAGCAGCCACAAAAGGATAATAATATTTAGATCCTGTCTTTCATAGTCAAAGATGACACCAAAAACTGAGAAATAGGCCTTGCATTTTGAATTGTTTTTATTTATCATCGTGGTGATATAATAGGGTTATGCTTAGTCATTCATATCATCTACAATTTTTTTTTACCTCTTTCTTCAAACTTTTTTTTATATTGAATGTGACCTTGGAATAGTTTCCTTTATAAAGTTAACCACCATATACGATTCACCATTGGTTCAGTGACCCTCATCTTAACCAGCCAGCCTTGACCCAGAATGGCAAATGATTTGCTAAAGGTCATAGAGCACAAAGGCAGCAAAGCCTATATGTCAGATTCTTTGGGCTAGTATTTTAGACCTGTTCCGTTTGCCTATTGAGTCTTGTTCTGCTGCTAATGTTTTTATGCTGGCAAAATAGAGTTGCTTATATTTCCTTTGACCAGTGTGTGCATGATTGGATGGACCTAGAACATTTTAAAAGCCTAAGATGTAATCACAGCCCCTGACTATACATGGGAGTGATTTGTGCCTAATAACTACAGTAGAAGGCTACTTTTCTTGAAACTGGGCCATGGGTCATAGCAAGCTTCTAAGCAACAATTCTTGCTCTTTTTTCTTTGACCATAGTATACTTTTGGCAAAAAGAATTTGACAAATTCTTTTCAAGTTTTTGACTCTTCTTTCCTTACTCTTATTCCCATGACGAAATCTACTTATAAAAATTTACTTTTCAAGTCAATCTGCCCTTTTAACATCTCCTAATACTTATATTTTAGCCATTTTGACTATTTTTCCTCCAAACTGCCCTCTCAAGCTCCTATCTTCGCTTTAGTTTTTTGGATCTGGTGACATCCTCTAACATAGAACAGTCATGGAGCTGTAGAATTTTTACTCTAGCTTTGTGAGTTTAACTATACCAATAGTAAGGAAAAAAAAGAAGGATAATATTAAAGTCAGATTGATAAGTGTATCATATTAGATATTCCCAGCTTATAGTCTCTGTGAGGAGTTTAAGATCCAGATGAATGAAGTAACAGATGCACTCATCTGTGGCCTTACAGACAGTCTGCTGATAGAGGTTGAGAAATATAACTGAAGACGGCATCCTGGGCTACAAAAGAAAAACAAATGTTAAGCTCTGAGAAAAGAACTGGCAAGAAGTGAAGGGTGGGGGTGTGGGATGGGTTTGGAAGAGGGATGGGAAAGAAATACCTCACATAAAATGTCAGACAGGTTGGTAAGAAATTTATAGAGGTGCTGATGGTTTGGGGTTTCTTGGGGGCATTGATTCTGTTTTATATTGTCTTCACAACCCACTCGCCCTGCTTTCTTTAAATAATTTATTATTGCAGCAGGCCTTCCTCTGGTTAGTTTCTTTTTTTATAACTTTTTCCTTCTCATCTCTGGGTCTAATCAGAGGCATATATAATAGTGTGGCTGCTCTAGAGTACTTAGGAAAATCCATGATCAATATCACTACATTATAAAGCCATGGCTGTTCTGTTCTATTTTGCAGTGTTTTCTTCCCTGTTATATTAATTCAGTATCTATGTTTTAAACAATATTTTATTAATCTTTGTACAATGAGACTTCTGGGCTTATTCTTCTTGGCTGGAACTATCTTTTGAGTAATCCGTCATCAGACCACCATGGATCTAATGATGTATTTATTGCTCACTATTGCAGCACTGGCAAGAAACCCAGTATGGTTCTAAAAATTTGATTAAAAAGAAATCAAGTTTTTGCAAGGCGTTGCCATCC